TATTCCAACATGTCCCAAAATACAATACGAACTTAGTCGAGGCTTCAAACCACATCAAACAATGTCAAAACGACTAATCGCACCTCAAATCAAAATATATGAACTTTGAACTTTCAATTTCTACAAACAATACCGGAACCTATCAAATCCAGTCCAATTGACCTCAAATTTTGCACGCAAGTCATAAATGACATAACACAGCTATAAAAATTTTCAGAATCGGATTTCGACCCCGATATCAAAAAGTCAACCCCTCGNTCCATTTTTTTTCACTAAAAGTCCACCAGAAACTGCTCTACCAGCCTTTCTTCAATTGATCATAACTTTATGTACAAATGTCCAAATGATAAATGGTTTAACTTTCTGAAAACTAGAATCAACCGACTACAACTTCTATGTTTTACAACTTTTCTGATTCCTTATGAATTGTGAGATATAAGCTTTCAAAGTCGGCTCCATGCATCAGAATTTCTGGCGAAACTGCTCTACCAGCCTNGGCATACGCCCAAGTCCCAATTCACGATACGGACCTACCGAAACTGTCAAAATACTGATCCGAGTCCGTTTGCTTAAAATATTGACCAAAGTCAACTCAGTTGTGTTTTAAACATCTAATTCACATTTTAATCCATTTTTCACCTGAAAACTTTTCGTAAAATTTTTACGGACTGCACACGCAAGTCGAGTAATGGTAAATAATGCTTAGATCACATAATTAATTATTAAATTTAAAAATAATATTTTGGGTCATCACACGGGGCATCAGTTACCAAAAAAGGCCCGCCTCGTCCGGCTAAACTCCTAACCCTCACCAACCCGACAACCCGTTCCACCCCCTTAGCGGACCGGGTTGACCCGGGTCAACCGGATGACCAGTGGACTGTCCCGACATGTTTAACATGTTTACCCCTGTCCCTGCGTTACCTTTAGCTGCCTCCATCTGTATTTAGCTTGCGGTGACCGACCCCTTAGAGGAGATTGCTATAGCCACAAAAGACACCCTAAATGAATCTATCATGGGACCCATGAGCAAAAATGTGTGCAACTGTAATCTGGATACCGCACTAAATTTGATATCACACTTCAATTGATTTTTGATGATATTTATACCACACTTCACTTGATAATTATAATTTTGTAGTGGCTAAAGTAAATATTTAATAAAACTTGAAATAATAAGTAATTGAGAATTTGAGAGTAATAAGCAATATTATCAAGAGAGAATTGAGAGAGAATTAGAGTAGTAAGAGAGCAAATTGTGAGAAAAAATAAAAAGATGGGGGGGGGGGCATTTATAGTTTTTTAAAGGTTAAAAATATAATTTATCAATTATTAGGGGCAGGGGCTATTTTCTTAAGGGGTAGTCCGAAATGACCAAAAATACAAAATATGGCCATTACCCAATGGTCATTTTTGAATTTGACCGTTGGCAACGGTAAAAAAAATATAAAAAATAAAAAATTTCATAACGGTAACCGGGCTGTAGCCCGGTAAAAACTCGTTAGTGGGTTACCGGGCTTACCGGGTTCCGGGGCATCGATTACCAAAAAAGGCCCGCCCCGTCCGGCTAAACTCCTAACCCTCACCAACCCGTTCCATCCCCTTAGCGGACCGGGTTGACCCGGGTCAACCGGATGACCAGTGGACTGTCCCGGCATGTTTAACATGTTTACCCCTGTCCCTGCGTTACCTTTAGCTGCCCCCATATGTATTTAGCTTGCGGTGACCGACCTCTTAGAGGAGATTGCTAAAGCCACAAAAGACACCCTAAATGAATCCATCATGGGACCCATGAGCAAAAATGTGTGCAACTGTAATCTGTAATGTAGAGACCGACTAAGCTATCGTTGGCTCGAGCCTTCTAAGCCAACGTCTCCAGAAAACTCTCTTGACTTTAACAAAATGGCAGCACCAGTAATGCGCCACCTCACTCCCGTCCCTTCTTCCTTTATAAAACTCCAATTACTCTCCCAAAGCCACTCATTTTTCACTCTCTCCGCTCCTCGTAAGAAGAAACGATTCTCCCTCGTAACTTCATTTTCAGTCATGGCTTCTGCTACTAAGAAGGTGCGTATTATCAAAATCGTCAATTATTTTTTCTCGTTTTGAAAAATGTTTGTGACATACATTTGGTTGTTATAGGTATTGGTTCCGATTGCGAACGGAACCGAGCCGATTGAGGCTATAGTGCCCATAGATATTTTGCGGAGAGCTGGTGCGGAGGTTACTGTTGCCTCAGTTGAGAAGCAGCTTCAGATTGAAGGAGTGCACGGAATTAAGATCGTTGCCGATGCTCTAATTTCTGATTGTGCGGATACTGAATTCGACCTTATCTCACTTCCGGTATGCGTTTTATTCAAACTCGCGAATAAACATTGTATAGCTTTAACGACTTGAGCTGTCCTAAGTCCCGAGGGATTGTTTTGTTCCCGGGTATAACACTCTGAATAACTAATAATACCTGCATAACTTATGTTATTCACTGGCTAAGATTCCATGTAATATTATTCACCGTGTATTAATTTTCTTATCTGATGTTTGGCCAAAGACTCAAAATACACTTTGTGTGAGTTCACCTAAAGTGTTAATCCAATTAAAGATTAAGACATGCATTTTACATTACCTTTTGTACTCTCTATGAGTTAAAAAGATACAGGACAAGAAGCAAAGTGTTTAGGGCTGGGAAACGTGAGAGGTGAAATAAGATGCATACGTTATTCTTGTCCATTTTCCAGACCTTTAGTAATGGAAAGGAAGTAAATCCCTTCTAGTTATGTTCAGCTATGGGTCCGACCTTTAAAATTTTACTGTTGAACCTATTGCACTTTTGGAATTATGGGTTCGGAATTTAATATTTGTTGAAAATTTAGTAATTTTTATATACTCTTTGTCAAAAATGGTGGTTTCGGTTAAGCCCGCATCGAAAATGTTGCATCTGCCTCTGGTTATATTGGTGATAACTGGAAATGACGAATACAACAAGAAGGATTTCTTACTTGTACTGTCCCTTTTCCCTAACCAATATGATGCTTGGTATTTAAGTACTTTTGATGCTCAGTGGCGGAGCCACATTGAACCAAGGGGTGTCGAGCGACACCCCTTCGCCGGAAAATTACACTATATTGCTAGATATTTTATTTTATTTTATGTATATTTACTATACGTTGACTCCCCTTGACTTTTCGATGTATCTAATTTTTTATATTTTGACACCTCTTGATGAAATTTCTGGCTCCGCCACCGTTGATGATGTTCAAGTCTCATTAAGGGACATATGAAGATAGCCTTTTACCTTAGTTACAATTCTTTTTTTGGTTAACATTTGTTTCCATTCTGCAGGGAGGGATTCCTGGTGCAACCAACCTAAGGAATTGCAAGACTTTGGAAAGCATAGTAAAAAAGCAAGCTGAAAATGGACGGTTTTATGCTGCAATATGCGCTGCTCCTGCTGTAGCACTTGGATCATGGGGGCTTCTGAAGGGGCTGAAAGTTAGAAGTTGTTCATTTTTTTGCTATTTAAAATTCAATGATGTTGTTTCTTTTGAAGGGCCTGAAAGTTAGAACCTGTTTCTCTTGGTTCTTTGATAGGCAACATGTTATCCGTCGTATATGGAGGAACTATCATCTTATACCATTGCTGTTGAGTCAAGAGTCCAAAAGGATGGAACAGTTGTGACAAGTCGAGGACCAGGAACTGCGATCGAGTATGCTGTTGCATTGGTTGAGGAGTTGTATGGAAAAGAGAAGGCTGATGAAGTTTCTGGCCCACTCGTATGTTTATAATCCATCCCTTTCATATTATCATGAAACAGGAGGCAAGATGCGCGACAGGTGTTGTAGATCTAAAAATTTGGGATATTGAGGACACGTGATTTGCATCTGCATCTTATGGTGGTGGATACGCTAAAACAACAAATGGATTCCTTTCGCTTTTATGCATGATTCTAGTTCTGAGGAGGCGAACCAACTAAAAAGTTAAAAAGTATCTTGCTATGCTGCAGAAAGGATGAGTCTGAATATATTCGTATGTCATAGTGATGTGAACAAGTAGCTCGAGGAATTTCAGGTGTTAAATTGATGCATGATTGGCTAAAGGCTGGATACCAGAGTTGTTTTTTCAAAGAAACTAAATCATTTGGAGGAGTAGAGTGATTATGACGAATATAATTGAAAATTCAAAGCATTGGCTTGGCTTTCTTTATTTTATACAAGATAGAGATGCAGAATGCAACGTTGAGACCTCATATCTTCTTGCCTCATCTTATATCACTTTGGGCTACACTATATCCTGATAGTTATTGTTATACATACAATTTTTTCAATCACTCTTGCTTAGGCTTCTTCTGGTATTAGATTACACTCTTCTAAGTCGATGCTTTCCTTAATCATTTTAGCTTTGCTATAGGGGACCATTGGATGTTACTGTCATGCTGTAGTCCTGGTGTCCAGGATTTGCCCGGTGCCATTTATTTATGAAAATTTGGAATTGTTCATATTTCAGGTGATGCGCCCAAATCACATCGAAGAATTTGCATTTGCTGAGCTCAATTCAGTAAATTGGACATTTACGAGTAAGCCACAGGTAAGATTTTCACCGAGAATTATTTCCGTCCAGGGTACGACTCTGTCATTTTCCTTCTCTTCAATCATTTATGTACTTAGTACTTGAACAAGTGATCCATTTGAATTTTGCATATAGTGAAAGATTCTACTATTATTTGTATGTCGATGCATACATTGTTGAGCTGATAAATATCTTCGCAAACCAGTGTGAATCATGATATATGTACTCAAAGCACAAGTCGAGGATGAGGTATTGTATGGGCATCTGTGTATGAGTCCGGAACCAAAGTGTGGTTCTTTTGGACTCAAACGGCAAAAATAGGTGCAACATGTTTGTCCGTTAAGCGCTATATTTGGACTTTCCTGCCCCACCAATAATTCACCTGCATTTTTACTGGCCCACCAATAATTCACATGGGTATAGCACATGCAGTATGTACGCTACCAAGGGCGAAGCTATGTTGATCCAAGGGTGGTCAACTGACCACCCTTCGCCGAAAAATTATACTACGTATAAAGTAAAATATTACCTGTTATTTATTAGAAATGGACTTTGAACACCCTTACATAGCCCACTGGCAAAGGGTGTTCAAAATTGAACACCCTTATTGAATTTTCTGGATTCGCCACTGCACGCTACATATATAGCGCCTATTATGCATGCGCTATACATGAAATAATTGTACCATTCGGATTGGTTTTGTTTCTTATTTAAGGTGTTTCAGAATTTGGTAAAAATCCATTCAGGATCCTTCCGATCTTCTGAAATATTTGTTCGTTAAGTTATTTTGCATTTTGTCATAATGTCCGAAAAGCGAAAAATTAGAGTTTCATTATATTGGAGGGGTGAGGTTGTGGTGGAGAATAACTCAGTATGCTGTAGTTGTTCTCCACAGTGTCATGTTAAGTTGCCACTTACAATGGAGTACGATAGATTGATATCGTTGTTATGTAAAAAAATGAGTGTGAGCAAACGTTCAGTTAATATTAAAGTAATCGGAAGATATCCCTATTCTATTACTTCGCAAGGGGTTTCTTGTTATGCTGAGTTTAACATCAGAGGACGATGAAACTCTGACAAATTTTTTGAGGACTCCGGATGAACACCGGGAACTTCTTGTGATAAAAATGTTGGAAATGTACGTCAAAGCTGGAGACGTTTGCAATAATGAGGTTTTGCTAAATAGGGATATCCCTGAATCATCAGGTGGTTTTTTTGGAGCAGTTTTATCCGATCAGGTCCGAGTGAAAGAGTTTGGCCAGATCTAAACTTATCTCCACGGGCGAATGAGGAGCTAGGACATAATTTATCCCCAAGTTCACATAATCCACAAGCCGAGTGGTAAACTTCTATTTTCCTTTGTGTTACGAAATTTATTTTTATGTATTGTTGTATTAAAACTCATATATTCCATAGGGGGTACCGGCCAGATGTGAATTTTACAAGCTATGAACCAACAGACAGTTGGAATATGCCTAGTTTTGGTATGTTGGATCATGGTGGTCCATCCGGGAGTCATCAACAACAGGACAATGTGCATCATGAGATATCAACACATTTTGATTTGTAAGTTAAGTGATAAACTTTTTATGTAAAGTTTGGATGAATTTGGGAAGCTCATTATTTTATTGGTTGTGCAGTGAAAACGAGCAACTTGAAGGTCCTGTCCTTACTCAATTGCCCGAAGATGACATATTTAATCGGGATTTGGCAGATGCGCAGAGTCAGGAAGATGATAGTGATTATGACAACAATGCTGATGAGTCTGGAGATGACACACCCTTCCCTTCCCTGATGAGGGTGATGATGATGAGGACGAGAATGATGAACCTGATTTGACGAGGGAGCATGCTCCACCTTCCGTTAGACCAAGAGTATACGAGTCCCATGTGCCGTTTCATTCAAGGGTGATTCCCTACCTTGATCAGTTGCCAAGTATGCCGGATATGGATGCCCTCATAAGGGGTCTTGACGAAATTCCGACAGCAATGTGGGATGAATCTAAAGCAACGGTGCCGTCAAAGGACATGCTTTTTGTTGATAAAGCGCACCTAAGCAGGGCAGTGCGAATGTACATCATAAAAGAGTGTCGTGAGATCGTAGTTCATGAGTCATCTCCGGAAGTATACAAGTTTATTTGTCGTAGATGGTTTCAAGGTTGTAATTGGATGCTGCATGCGAGAAGGTTGAAAACAAATATGTGGATTGTGGGAAAATGCATTGGCACCCACAATTGGTAAATGGACACATTCAGTGTGAATCATTTTAACTTGAATGTTGACTTGATTTCTCTTGTCTTGATTCCACACATTGAAGCGTCCATAAGGTACAAGATCAAAGAGTGTATAACATCTGTCCACCAAGTATATCGATGTACCATTACCAAAGTCCACTTGTCAAGCTTCTGTCGCATCAACCAACGATAGGCTTCTGGGTCTTCTTGTCTAATTAATTCCATTCGACTCCTGAATTTACACTCTTGGTGATCTGTTGCAGTCATCCACATTAAATCATGTAAGTCCTTGTTCGGATAAGCCCTTTGGAAGTTGGCCTTCAAGTGCCTAACACAGTAACGGTGGTAGGCATACGGTTCCTGCCATTCACGCAAATTCTGTACATAACTTAAAATACCGCCATGCCGATCAGATATTAGACAAATACCTGAGCGCTGTTTGACAACGTGCTCCTTCAAGTGGTTCAAAAACAATGTCCACGTCTCTTGGCTTTCATTGGCACAAATAGCAAATGCTAGGGGAAATATACTTCCATTAGCATCTACTGCAACGATGATCAACAACTTAATATCATACTTTCCATAGACATGAGTGCCGTCTATGGATATTACTGGCCGACAATGCACAAAACCATTAATGACTGGTTTAAATGCCCAGAACACATCTGAATATGTATTCTTGTATTCCTGGACTCCGCGCAAGCTTTCATTCAACAACAGTCCCGGGGTTAAAGTGTTGCAATGCAGCCATGTACCTGGGTAGAGCGGCAAATGACTTATCCCAGTTACCATAAACAATTTCAAATGCACGTTTACGCCCGAGAAATGCCTTTCTTTTGGTAATGGTACATCCATATACCTGGTGGACAAATGTTATACACTCTTTGATCTTTTACCTTATGAACGCTTCAATGTATGGAATCAAGATAAGAGAAATCAAGTCAACATTCAAGTTAAAATGATTCCCACTGAATGTGTCCATTTCACAATTGTGGGTGCCAATGTATTTCCCCACAATCCACATATTTGTTTTCAACATTCTCGCAAGCAACATCGAATTACAACCATGAAACCATCTACGACAAATAACCTTGTATACTTCCGGAGATGACTCATAAACTACGATCTCACGACACTCTTTTATGCTGTACATTCGCACCGCCCTACTTGGCACGCTTTATTAGCAAAAAACATGCCCTTTGACATTGCTGTTGCTCTAGATTCATCCCACATTGCTGTCTGAATTTCGTCAAGATCCCTTATGAGGGCATTCACATCCGGCATACTTGGCAACTGATCAAGGTAGGGAATCACCCTTGAATGAAACAGCACATGGGACTCGTACACTCTTGGTCTAACGGGAGGTGGAGCATGCTCCCTCGTCAAATCAGGTTCATCATTTTCGTCCTCATCATCATCACCCTCATCAAGGAAGGGAAGGGTGTGTCATCTCCAGACTCATCAACATTGTTGTCATAATCACTATCATCTTCCTGATTCTGCGCATCTGCCAAATCCCGATTAAATATGTCTTCGGGCAATTGAGTAAGGACAAGACCTTCAAGTTGCTCGTTTTCACTGCACAACCAATAAAATAACGAGTTTCCCAAATTCATCCAAACTTTACATAAAAAATTTATCACTTGACTTACAAATCAAAATGTGTTGATATCCCATGATGCACATTGTCTTGTTGCTGATGACTCCCGGATGGACCACCATGATGCAACACACCAAAACTATGCATATTCCAACTGTCCGTTGGTTCATAGCTTGTAAAATTCATATCTGGCCGGTACCCCCTGTGGAATATATGAGTTTTAATACAAATTCAATACATAAAAATAAACTTCGTAACACAAAGGAAAATTGAAGTTTGCCACTCGGCTTGTGGATTATGTAAACTTGGGGATAAATTATGTCCTCGCTCCTCATTCGCCCGTGGAGTTAAGTTTAGATCTGGCCAAACTCTTTCACCCGGAACCTGTTCGGATAAAACTGCTCCAAAAAAATCACCCATTGATTCAGGGATATCCCTATTTTGCGAAACCTCATTATTGCGAACGTCTTCAGCCTTGACGTACATTTCCAACATTTTTATCACAAGAAGTTCCCGGTGTTCATCCGGAGTCCTTAAAAAATCTGTCATAGTTTTATCGTCCTCGATGTTAAACTCAGTATGACAAGCAACACCTTCCGGGGTAACAGAATAGGGATATCTTCCGGTTACTTTAATATTAACCGAACGTTTGCTCACACTCATTTTTTTAAATAACAACGATACCAATCTATTGTATTTCATTGTAAGTGGCAACTTAACATGACACTATGGAGAACAACTATAGCGTACTCTCCACCACAACCTCGCCCCCCGATATAATGAAACCCTAGTTTTTCGCTCTTCGTATATTATGACAAAATGCAAAATAACTTAACGAACAAATATTTCGGAAGATCGGAAGGATCCTTAATGAATTTTTACCAAATTCTGAAACTCCTTAAATAAGAAACAAAACCAGTCCCGGGGGTACAATTATTTCATGTATAATGCATGCATAATAGGCACTATATATGTAACGCGCATACTGCATGCACTATATATACCCATGTGAATTATTGGTAGGTCAGTAAAGTGCAGCTGAATTATTGGTGGGGCAGGAAAGTTCAAATGTTAGTCAGTTTTTTTTTTGCACCTATTTTTGTCGTTTGAGTCCAAAAGAACCGCTCTTTGATTCCGGACTCCTCCAAAGTGTAGGTTTAGCAAGATTTCAGGCGAAGTCTTATTAATAAGATTCTTTATTTGAAGTAATAGCAGTGACCAATTTCTAGATAGAATATTTAGCTTCTGAAGAAACAGCAGTATGTACCTCTTTTGAGTTTTGGAGCTGAACCATTACCATGTTAGTATTCAGCTACCTAATATTTCTAAATATTTTTTGAAATTACTAAATATATTTTGAAATACTTGTTCGACAGATTCTTGTACCTATTGCGAATGGTTCTGAGGAAATTGAAGCAGCTACTATTATCGATGTACTTCGACGAGCAAATGCTCAAGTAGTAGTGGCATCTTTGGAAGATACATTGGAGATTGTCGCTTCCAGAAAAGTTAAGCTAGTAGCAGATGTGCTCCTTGATGAAGCTGCTAAGCAGTCATATGATCTTATCGTCCTGCCGGTGAGTGCAATCTTATGAAATGTTATAAAGCTCCTTGAAGTTCTTGTCTTACTGTAATCTACAAATACACAGGGTGGTCTTGGCGGTGCCCAAGCATTTGCCAACTCAGAAAAGTTGGTTGACATGCTGAAGAAGCAGAGAGAATCAAGCAAACCGTATGGAGCAATGTGTGCATCTCCGGCTCTAGTCCTAGAGCACCATGGGTTGCTCAAGGTAAGAAGATATTTTTCAAGCCCTTGGAAGTTGATTGTTGAACTATTGTAAAGCAACTGAATATTACCTCAAGTACTACAATTTGTAAATTACCTTGGCTATCAGGAGAAGAAAGCCATGACTTGAAAGTCCTGAATATTACCTCAAGCACTGCACGAGGCGTGTTGGTTTAAGTCTCTTGCAGAATAACATGCTTGCATTAGACAAGTTTATGCGTTTGAGAATTTGACTGCTCCATATCTGAATTGAATATTTGGCTCTGTTAGTTGACATTCGTTGTTTCTTGCTATCCAGGGTAAAAAGGCTACTGCCTTTCCAGCTATGTGCAATAAGCTCTCAGATCCAAGCGAAGCAGAAAATAGGGTGTTGGTTGATGGCAATCTTGTTACTAGCAGAGGACCAGGAACTACCATGGAGTTTGCACTGGCCATTGCAGATAAGTTTATTGGCCGCAAGGAAGTACTAGTGCTAGCAAAGAAGATGGTTTTCTAAGTAGAATCATTTTGCCTGTCTTCCGTCTTTAGGATTATATAGGCACCCATAGTTACCCATAGTTGTAAACTTGTAATAAACTTTGGCCATCAGTGTGCACTTAAAATAAAAGAAATGCTGTATACGAGTTAACTCAGTCGCATTTGCTAATTTCCTATTCAATGCCATCGCTTTTTATGCCGGTCTTTCCCTCCCAATTGATCTGTCGTTTATCTCATTTTGGTCATATTACTATCTGGTTGTTATTTATGTTGTTTTTACATCATTGTTGTGCTTTTTGTTTTTATCTTTATTAATGTGGTGCTTATGCTTCCTGAGCGTCTATTGGAAACAACCTCTATCTCAACAAGGTAGGGGTAAAACTGCGTACACACTACCCTTCCGAGACCCCACTATGTGAAATTATACTGGGTCTGTTGTTGCTTCCCTCTGAATAGTATAAGTTACAGTCGCATGAGCTTGAATCTGCAGTTGTCATCAAGCGGACCATCAAGAACTCTAATGTAAGATGCCTGGGGACACAATAGAAGCCATCATCTCTTTGGGTCGTATTATGTTTTTCATTTCGACAGGATAACATGTGTGGAGATGTTTTATTGAAATACGGAACTGTTCGCTTATAACTTCAAAAACAATATACATCTTGTAAGGATGTTTTTTGACAAATAGGCGTAGTAAGTTTCTTTTGAATGCTGATAACGTGAAGGAGACTGGTTGAATTCTTCCACGACTGTGAATTCTCAAGTACACGTTTGTGATGTGGATTACAAATGGTGATTGGTTTTCTCAATTGTTTTTAATTCGTGTTGTTAAAAGAGGTATTGATTATTTTATAGACATTTCCAAGTTGAGTTGCTTTCCTACAATGTTTTAAGTGGAGGAAAAGCCCTTACATTATTCTCTGTCTTAAAGAATGCAAAAGTTGGGCTACTTAAAATGAATTTAATTGTAGCTCACCGTTGTTGACTCCGATTGTACCCCTGGGAGAAGAGAAGTTTTCCTGATTTGCTGCTCCTATTATTGTTGACAAATCTCTGGTGACTGTAAAGTGTAAATCAATCCACTTGGAGTTTCCTTTATTACCAAAAACGGAGCCTTTTGCATGTAAGCAATCTTTCGTCAAATGGTTTTAGCAAGCTCATGAATCATATTGTCCGTTGCCAATTAATTACCCCATGCATGCTAGTAAGACTATTGTGGTTTAGCATGGTATAATATGACGAAGCTGAATCTCATCAAAGTAAGAACAGAGGTGAATATAGGATTCTAGATTCAGTAGTGTGGAGTATCACTACATTTACTTCTCTTGTTTAGCGATTGGTGTGGACTTAGAATACATATATTCTAAAAATATATACTACTTTAAGGCCGTGTGACTACACCTGCAGAGCAACTAGCTAGTCAGTGAAGTTATTTAAGCAAGTTAGTCGGTGTCCATGTGCTAGTAGTTTCTATTAGTAGATTACTGAGAACAAGGATTTATACACATGGCTTCTATACTCTTCCTTTGGAATCATTAAATGAAAATTGCACAAGTTTACTCTCTTACTCTCCACTCTTCTTATAATTCACTTTTCTTGTATCATGTTCACATCATTTGTTGTTTCTATCATTGCTGGATTATTGAAGTCAATAACAGATTCACATACTTGTAAGGTGGGAACTGCAGCTGAAGTCAACCGTTGATATCGAAAAAGCACGAAAACTGATGATTTCGAGTGAATGTGTTTATCCTTTCTTTAATCTTGAATATGCGTTAAGGATGGGTTATGCATTTTGTTATTTTACGTTTACAGATTTGTTTTACATTCTCAATAAGGGAAACTCCATTTCGACCTCATCAAAAGAGGCAAAAGTTTAGCCACTAATATGGAAATAACATAACAAGTATTTTCTATTGACTTTTAATTAGACTTCTTTCAATTGGGCTGCAATATCTGGCATTTTGATTTAAAAGTCTTGAAATTCATTAAATTTTATGGAATAAAGTCGTTTAACGTCACCAAATTTCATTTTGCTATGGTAAGATTTCACAAGAGCTACGAGTTCGATGTTTTGCATATTATATTATTGAAAAACTACCAACTATGTCCATTTATAAGTAGTTTATTACAAAAATTGGCAAATTCATAAAATATTACTAATATTAGCCAATTAATTATTTGTAGCAAAAAAAGTCAAATTTTTGCTTTCTTTTAAGCGAGTGTTATTAGAATAGATTGGGTACATCTTAAGGAGCTTGAATCTGAGTTTTGGGATGATTTGGTGAAGTTTTGACGTGGTTTGAATTGAAAATTCGAAGTAAAAACTGAACATGAAAAAAATGATGTTTATCGCACTGTGTATCATTTGTGTATCACATATGTATCATATTTGTATCAATTGCGTATCACATGTATATCCGTGTGTGAGATACATGCGTGATACATGTGTCGCATAAGCATTTTTTGAACTTGATTTAATTACGAATTTTGATACAAAACCAGTTCAAATCATCTCTAATCTTCCTCAAATTTTGTATATTGACTTATCTATATGTTTTCAATGAATTTCAACTATATCCATTGAAAAAATTCCTTTTTTGCTTAAATTTTTGGAATATTGTATTTTATTTTTGTATTTCATCACCTTATTTGCTACCTCATCCATGAAATTTCCTTTCCGTCTTGCATCTAATGTTGCTAATCACGTTTAAAAATATGGAAAAAGATTTTTGCATGTGATTCTTTGAGAGAAAGAACCTTATTTATTTGATTTTTTAAATTTTATATGTGCTTGATTAATTTTGGTAAGTTTATGACTAATTGATAGAGATTGGTAAGTTGAGACTTATTTGAGATATTTATGTAAGTTTCCCAAACTTTCTATTGGCCAAATAAAGCATGTTGTAAGTGCCTAAGGTATGCCAGAAGCAAAGTTGCAGTAGTATGATTCTAAAGGACAATTTCAGTACTTAATGGAGTAATCCTTTTCCTAAGTCCCCACTCCCGATAGTATTTTTTGGTCAATGACTCAATGTAAGTCTCAATAGGTAGAAGAGCGCATTGACATAATTGGTAAAGTTATTGTCATGTGGCCAGGAGGTCACGTGTTCGAACCGTAGAAATAATCACTTGCAAAAATATAAGATTAGATTGCGTACAATAGACCCTTGTGATGAGGTACTTTCCTGAACCCGCACATAGCGAACGTTTAATGAATCGGGCAATGTAGGTCTCAATAGTTAATTCTTGAACATTGGCCGTTGGAAGGGAGATGTCACTATATGTTTTTTTTTTCTGTAATTTTTCTGGTGTAACATAAATAGAGTAGATTTTAGTAATTTTATTACTGTGTTCTATGAGAGCAAAATTTTGTTATGGTATTAGCATTTTATTGTTTTCTTTTGTCCAATAAAGAAAGAGCAGCTATAATTTTGCCGTGTGCATTCACTTGTGCAGCCAACCTTATCTCCTTGTCTTTTCCGTTGTATTCTTTTCTTATAAAAATAAAAATACTAGACGCCAATATATAGTGAACAGGTGGCTTAACACTAAATTATCTGTTTGAATTGATTAGCTGGAAAAAAGAAGAAGCTAGGTGATAGACTTATAAAAAGTCCAACATGAAGATTTCTCATCGAAAAAAATTAAAATAATATTTTTATTTACTAGCCAAATAAGTCAAAGTAGGATTTTGAACTTAATTTTTACTCACGTGACACTACTACTATTTAAAGAGTAAAATAATTATTATTACAATTCCAATATATATATTTTAAATATTTTAAATTATTAACTATTACTCCATTACTTATGATACTTTTATGTAGTTTTGTAAATATGTAAATTATATTTAGACTAGTTTAAGGAAATTATGTCTGAATTAATATTATGTGCTTTGATATTTTTAACAGATAGGAACTCATATTTTATATGCTAAGGACAACTCGATACACTAAATTTTTGCTATGTGCGGGTTTCAGTGAAGGCCGGACCACATGAGTTTATTTCTGTAAGAGTTATATTTTATGGCTAAAAATTTTAAAAATTGAATTTCTTAAATTTAATTTTTCTGGATCTGCCTTTAAATTGTATTAAGAAAAGTTTAAGGAAATTATGTCTGAATTCACAATATGTGCTTTGACATTTTACAGCGTCAATCCTAAAGTTTACCATTTGTCCACATTTTCCACGTATAAAAAGAAAAAGACGCAGGTGAATTCTTTTCAGCGTGTAAGAGCTTTACTGCTTTGCTAATGACTTGCTAACAAATATAACAATGGCCTGCAATCTAAACCAAACTCTTCCTCTCCCAAAGTCAAAAAAAGACTTTCTCTCTCTACTCTTCATTCCGCCCACGCCTTTCTGCTGCTGGCTGGTGGCTGCTTCAACAAGTAATTCAAATATTTATGCCCTGTTATTGAATTTTCATCTTTGTTCTCTTGTAAATTTCACTGCTTTTAATGAGCTAAAACAATTAGCTATTTTACTTGAAGCGATCTTTGAGATTTTTGTGCTTTTTCATTGGTCAATCAGGTTAGTGTTTTCTCTCGTGGCAGATCTATAATAACTTAAAAGTTAGTGGATTTGGATTACATACGTTTATTCTATCTATTAAATTTCGATTTTATTGGGTGTGGTCTGAGCTAAAAAAAAGTGGTTCTTAATTTATCTGCGGAGCTGCTTTTAAGTCATTATTATTAGTATTTAGTCATTATTTGTTACCGGTGTTGAGCACCTTCCACTTCCAACCAAGAGTTTGTGAGTTCGAGTCACCCAAGAGCAAGACGGGTAGTTCTTGGAGGGAGGTAGTCGAGGGTCTATCGGAAACAGCCTCTCTAACCCTTAGTGAGTTCGAGTCACCCAAGAGCAAGACGGGGAGTTCTTGGAGGGAGGGAGCCGAGGGTCTATCGGAAATAGCCTCTCTACCCAGGGTAGTATAAGGTCTGCGTACACACTACCCTCCCCAGACCCCATTAGTGGGATTATACTGGGTTGTTGTTGTTGTTGTTGTTATTATTAAAAGGTTCATTTCTATTTTTGGAAACTGTACTTTATTTTCCTACTGCTGCATATAAACGCATACTAATTTTGACGTAATTTCTTACTTCTCAGTTTATTTATTTTTTTAAATCTTTGAATTTGTTATAGCTGTAATTATTATCTGTTCTTTGTTGCCATGTTCTTTTGAATTTGTCCAGATTTATTGTTAGTAGTGATGAAAATGTAGCTTCTGAACAGTAGGTTCAAAATTGTGCTTTTTTGAAAATATTTTTGGGTTTCTTTATGGTGTTATTTCTTATTCAATTCGTTTCTTTGGAAGAATTTTAGGTGCAAGACGTAAATTTTCTCCATTTTTTACCGTATCTTTATCAGTGTTAAAGGGAACTAAATTTTGTTGAAATGAAGTGTTAACATGTTGCTTTGTCATGTCACAGGCTTGGCAGCAGAGTTCTTCGTTTTTCTGTGTGTTGACTCTAACAGCAAAAGTGGTGTAAAAATGACTTGTTTTGGTCTCTGCCTAAGAGGGATTGCATCTCCAACACACAACAATCTAACAGAAATTGATGAAGGTTGAAATTTCAAATTTTCTCAATTCTCTCTTCTCCTTCTTGTAACTGTTCCCAGCTTCTTTAGCAGTATAGCAGAGTTGTTATAATTAAAGATCCTTGATTACTTCATCAAAAAAAATATAATTAAAGATTCTTTGATCTTGGGGTGCGGCCCTTCCTCGAATTCTGCGTGAATGTGAGATGCTTAGTGCATCGGGCTGCTCTTTTTCTTTTATTCTTTGCTCTTCTTAAGCGTGGAAAGGCATTGCTTTTTCCATACATGATCTCTCAATAATAATTCAAGTAGTTGAGAATGAAGTGGGAGGAGAACCATGCGGTTTTAGGTTCAAATCCCAGTGGAGTAGATGATTTCTTCCGATCTGCCTAAGCCTTGGTTGGCAGAGTTACCCGGTACCTATGCTGGTGGGAGGTAGCAGGTATCCGGTGGAATAATCGAGGTACGGGCAAGCTAGACCAAACACCATCTTCATAAAAAAAAAATGATTCAAGTTGTTTTTTCATTCAATACATGTAAAGATTCCTTACTAGATTTCGAATTGTTGCAGAAATTTCAACCATTGAGAACGCAAGGGTGTATCATTACAAGGAATTGCAGGCTGCAACAGAAGATTTTTGCCCTGTAAACAAAATAGGCAAAGGAGGGTTTGGCTCTGTATACAAGGTATTTTATTCTCTACAAAAAGATCTTCAGGTTTTGCAATTCCGTGCAATTAATAAGCTAACTTTATATTCTAATTGTTAGGGGAGGCTAAAAGATGGAAGATTGGCTGCTATTAAGGTACTTTCTGTTGAATCGAAACAAGGTGTGAAGGAGTTTTTGACAGAAATAAAGGTGATCTCAAATATAGAACATGAAAACCTGGTGAAATTGTATGGCTGTTGTGCGGAAGGGGATCATAGAATATTGGTGTATGGCTACCTGGAAAACAATAGTCTTGCTCAAACTCTGCTTGGTAAGTTGAAGTCCTTTGTCATTGCTATTTTTTAACTTTTTCTTCTTCCTTTTCTTTGGTTTGTACTTGTGGCATGGATAGTAAAGTTTGCTTACTCACAGGTGGTGCCCATAGTAGCCTCCAGTTTAGCTGGAAAACCCGAACTAAAATATGCATTGGTGTTGCACGAGGACTTGCATTCCTCCATGAAGAAGTCCAGCCTTATATAGTTCATAGAGACATTAAAGCAAGTAACATCCTTCTCGACAGAGACCTGACCCCAAAGATCTCAGACTTTGGTCTTGCTAAGCTTATTCCAGCTGATATGACCCATGTTAGCACTCGTGTGGCAGGAACTTTGTAAGTTTACAGATTATTATGCTTTTATATTTTCTTAGACAAAATGCTTATGGTTAATCCGTTGGTTTGGTTTATGAATTAGAATGAATATGCCATTCAGAAACAATGAGGATTGTTCTGAGCTAAGAATACCCAAAGAACAAGATGATGAGTACTCGTAACAATATTATTGTTTGGCGAGCTTACATTTATATTCCTTTTATTCAAGCTATTGCTCCCTTAGATATCTTTACATAATCATCAGGATCTCTAGGGGGGGTATACAAGAGCAACTTGTCGTATGTGATATTTCTTGATGGACAATAAATAGATACCAAGGTCTGTTAAGGGTTTAATGGTAAGCTGTCTATCAAGTGATACCTGGAGAGATCAAGCTGATATGGAAGACTATCCATCTTTGTATCTTTTGGTCTATTTGACTTGAGAGGAATAGGGCATACTTTGAGGGGGGAAAAGGAACATATTTTTAGAACTAAAAATAGATGTTTACGTAATCTTTACTTTTGGTGTAAAAGCAGTCTGCTAGTTAATCTTGATCTGTATATGAATTTTCTGGATTACTAGGAAGAAGGATGTAGTAGTTTGCTTCTTTTTGTCTTCTGTCTAAGTGATGTACTAGTTTGTACCATCTTGGTACTTTATCAATAAAATCTTACCTTATAAAAAATAAATAAAAAGAATAGAGAGTCTCACTTAGTTGGATCTAATTTGACGGTGTAAGGCAGAAGGAGGGTCTGGCTTGGCTAGACTGGCATCTTACATATTTTAACTTGGTATCTTATCATACCAAAACTAAAATACCTTTTGGCATAGAAAGGGTTAAAATGTGTGGATTCAGAAACCAACACCAGATCTGGAAAATTACCTATTTCAGACTTTGACTCTGTGGAAGTTTATTTTTGACTTTAACTCATATTTTTGTCCTCTTCTATCCTCTAGTCTGGATAACGCTTCTTCCACTTGTGTTTAGAAGAACCATGAGAGTGGTGGTCTCACTACTTTTTGTTGTTCAGACTCAATGGGTATAATCTTTTTCCTATTCATAGTGCTCCCATTTTTAGCTTTATATTCGACGGATGAGCTTCCAAATCTAGGAATACTAATTCCCTTGTCTAAATTATAGGAGGTGGATTTTCTAGTTTGCACTTGACCTTCACATTAACTTCTTTCTGCATTTCCTAATTCTACTCTGGATCTTGGAGAGGTCAAGCATGTCGCTCATCTGATAGTCTTTCTTTCCTTATCTTGTTCTTTATAATTTTCCTTGCCTTTATTCTCTGAAACAAAGCAATGAGTTTAAGTTGCATGTGATATTTGCACTGCTCTTTTTCCAGGAGTTATAGCTGAGGTTGTATAGTGTTTGTTTAATCCAGAATAGTTCCCTTACTGTGAATGATGAACTCAAGATGGTAAGTTACTCTAGGAATGTGTAATGCCTGGAGTTGGGTGGTTTGATCGATTTGAGCTTGATGTGAGAGTGCTAAGTAGTCCTATAGGTATACCAGCTAGAGTTTCTTGTCTTCTTTGTAGTGGATAGACAGACTTATATTTGGACGGTCGTAGGATTAATTGGTGAGTGGACAAACTATATTTAGATTATAAAGCTGGGATTGTAATGAGTGAAATATCAATGAAACATTGTATTTATATCAATTTGATTCTTCACATTTATCATTGGATGTTTAAATTTCGCAATGTCAAAGCATCTTGTTCTTCTTCATAATACTTGATCTTCCTAAATTGAGGAATGCTCCATCTTGAAATTTGAATAAAAGAATTGTGCTGTAAGGCGTAGCACTTTTACTATCAAGGCTAGTCAAAACAATTGTGATGTTAAAGTGACGTAACAAAGAAAATTTGAAGTACAGGCAGATTGGCAGATGTTTAAATTATGTAACGATTACTTTTTTCTTTGATAAGTATGTCTCAGTGACTATATTTCGTCAACAAAGTGCAACTTTATTGTCTAATTTAGCAGTAGTGAGGAGTTAATGACACAATATATTTGGTGTTAGTAGATTAAACTGCAAGAAAGAGAATGTAGAAGAGCTTTTGCCATTACCTTGAGACACAATGCCTTGATCTTTTTTAAGTCTGTTCCACTCCTGACTATCTCATAGGCTCTCGCTCTTTTCCAGTTTATAACTGGGCTATTTCTTTTGTATACTTACTTCTTCAGTTCACATCCAGCTCTATATATTCTCCTTCCTGATCCTGGTATGTTGTAAATGAAAATGCAGAAAGGCTATTGATAGTCTTATTATACATTAAGCTAAAACTAGAGACAACATGGCATTATTTTCTTGTTTTTCATTGTGTATAAATTTTAACGTGCTTATTTATTTGTAGAGGTTATTTGGCCCCTGAGTATGCCATCAGAGGGCAGTTGACCCGGAAAGCAGATGTATACAGTTTTGGGATTCTCCTTTTGGAAATCGTTAGTGGAAGATGCAACACAAACAAGCGGTTACCTATTGAACAACAATATCTACTTGAACGGGTATGTAGTTGCTTTTAACATTATTCTGTTTCTGTTGGATCCCTATTTCCTGCAGAAAGAAAATATCTAAGAAGAACAGAATTGTTTCTATACATTATTAAATATGAGAGATATATAGCCATTGCATTCTCAACTGCTCATAGAACATGATGGGATGATCAACGTAGGTTGTTAAATTATTTGGTCATTGGTTTAAATTCTTATTTGCGCTCCTGCCGACATCATCCTTCAACCCTAACCTTGTAATGGAAAATAACGTGGTTGAAGCAGCTTATAGTCCGAAGCCCATCTAATCCGTAGTTTATATTGTTTTTCTCAGGCAGGCTTATTGATATAATCTTGACATAATGGCTTGCTTAAGAGCAGAAAAAAATATATAGCAATTTTGACATTTGATGTAACAAATATTTAGCCAACCAATGAAAAAGAAATATGATTGCCATCCCCAGCTCAAATAGAAATTAGATATAAGGGAGAGTTGTATAACATACAATAACTTGATATGCAGGCATGGAAACTGTACAAGAAGGGGGAGCTCATTGAATTGGTAGATACGTCATTGGGAGACGACTTCAATGTTGATGAGGCTTGCAGATTCTTGAAGGTGTCTCTCTTATGCACCCAAGTCATGCCCAAGAGCCGGCCATCGATGTCCACTGTTGTGAAATTGCTGATTGGTGAGATGGAAGTGGATGCCGAAGAGATATCTGAACCAGGCATGTTATCAGACCTACTGAGTCTCAGGAGTAACAAGAATACCTCATCAGACTCACTGTCTGCTGGCTCAGGAAAACAAGTTGATTCCTCTTCATCTATGAACACAACAATGACACATGGAACTATGACTTTCACATCAATAAATGACCGAAATAGCTGAGCTAAACACAGCATGGTAAAGCCCATGTCCTTGTCTATCATCCTTTTATCTATTGAGTTTATTTCTTGGTAAGATTTTGCTCTCTAGCTTGTGGAATTAGGAGTTCTTTCACTTCAATTGTATTCTAAGCTGTAAATATGACCTCGAATTTGTATAATTAGTCGATGAATCATTGAGACTTTTCCCATTTTTTTCTATTTAAGTACATGTCATATTGTATCACGAGAGACAATGTTCTTGGAAATGCGCAATGATTTGTAAGCATAAAGCCTCCAAGGAATTTACAGTGTTGGTGTATTGGTTCACTGCAAATGGCTTGAGTCATCATTTATTAATTATCTTGCCGTAATTCTCACATGGTCACCAGCAGTATACAGTATACACTACTCTCCCTATGCGCGAAGTGCATTGTGGACATGCGGGGGCGAAGCTATGTTGGCCCAAGGGTGGTCAACTTACTACGTATAAGGTAAAATATTACTTGTTATTAATTAAAAATAGACTTTGAACACCATTGCATAGCCCACTAGCAAAGGGTGTTGAATTTCCTGGCTTCGCCATTGTAGACATGGATAGTGAATGACAGAAATGATTCGCCTGATGTAAGATTTGCCGTGGACCAAGTTTACCTTAAGGTCTCATAATTATAACATGAATCGGAGAACTTTTATTGCATATGAACTCTGAACATGAAAGAATATATTCACCTTAATAACTAATCCATCTTCTTCAGTGTAATTACATCTACTTTCCCAATCAATTTAATAATCTGAATAAGAAGCGAAAGAAAACTGGAAAAGACAAAAGAATGAAAAGCCTAACTTCTGGTTCTGTAACATCTGTACCATAAAATTAGGTAACAGAGGACTCTGTAACCTAAGATGAAACACAGCATCACAGCTAAGTTGCTCCATTTCTGTGACTCTTTGAGGTCTTGCTGTTTCAAGAAGTCATTTGCAAACAACTTGCATTCTCCTCTTTCACTTTCTAAACATCTTTTCCCTCCCTTGCCTCCATACTCATTTATCAAGAAGCACTCAAATGGGTACTTAAACAGACTTAAGTAATGCATGAATATCCAGTAATTAGGTATCTTCTCTTTTGAAAGGAAATAGCCTGAGAACAGAAAGAAAGACCCCATCAAGCCAGCAATAATAGATGTTCCCATTATGAAATTTGGCACAAGTGCACTGAAACATGCAGTGAAAGAATTTGACATTAAGACAACCATCCAAACCACCATAGCAAAGTAGAGGAACCCATCCATGTTTCGCCTCAGACCAACGAGCCAGTAAACTGGGACTGTGTAGAGAAGGCCAACCATTAAGAGGAAAGGAAGGAAGACAAAGGTGTTAGCCACAACATAAGAGGATACTCTGTATGCTCCTCTTGAAGTCTCCCTCATAAAGATCCTTCTCTCTTGCAGGAAAATGGGCAAGCCTTCTGTCATGGAGGAGAGCAAGAATGTTAGACTGAACGCGAAGAATCCTAGTCTGGTCTGTAAAGCAACCTGCCCTACATTGTTATCAACATTGATGAATATTGACCCCAATATAAAGCCTGCTACCAATGCTTGTATTATTCTGGTTGCAAAAAGTTGCTTGGTTCTGAATATGTTCTTGCAAAATCTTCCTCCCAGCATTAAAATCTCTTCAATGTGAGAATTTGAGTAGAAAGGACACTTCTCTACAATGTCATTGTGGTTGGAAATTGTAATTCCCTCATCATCTACCCTTAGGCTTTCCTTTTTTTCACCATGATCCTTGAGATAGAAATGGATATTGGGAGTTTCAGAAGTTTGAATTACTATGCTTCCTGTGACATCAATGGCAAATTCAAGCACATTGATGTGGGGTGGAATTTGGAGACCCGAAAACTTGATCCTCTCTTCTAGGTATTTCAGTGAACCATTGTGAAGAACACAACCATTTGACAGCAAAACAAGTCGATCAAACAGTTCAAGAATCCGAAAACCAGGTTGGTGGATAGTCAAGACAATTGTCTTACCTTGATTAGCCACCATCAGCTGTAGGAGTGATATGACATGAAGTGCTGATGCTGAATCCAGCCCAGAAGTTGGTTCATCAATGAGAATCACAGCAGGGTCATGTACTAGTTCAACTCCAATCGAAACCCTACGCCTTTCACCCCCTGAAATTCCCATGTTAGATCCTTCCCCAACTCTGGAACTAGCTACATGTTCCAAACCAAGCTCCTTGATCAGCACTCCAACTCTATTTGCAGCCTCTTTTTTCCCACCTGGTAGCCTCAGAAGAGCACTATACATGAGTGTTTCTTCAACTGTAAGCAGAGGAAACAAAGCATCTTCTTGGGTGACATACCCCGATAATCTTCGAAAACATTTGGCATTCACAGGATGACCATTAACTAGTACCTGGCCAGTGACTTTTGTTGGTGATATTTTCCCTGCAAGAATTTCTAGCAGTGTTGTTTTTCCAGCTCCACTAGGACCAGCAATAGCTGTAATCTGTCCTGGCCTTGCTTCACAATTTACATCCTTAATAATGAACTTCTGGGAATTCTTAGGAATGTTGCAGCAAAAAACCCAACTGAATTCATCATATAAACTAGGGAGTGCGTAGGAAAGATTTCTGGTTTCTATGGTATAAGAAATTTTATTCCGGCCACCGGAATCCGGTGCTGTAACCGGAAGTTCCATAGTAGAATGAGATGAAAAGAGGGTAGAGAATCAAAGTCTAGAGAGGGAGAGGGAAGTTTGGTTAATCAGGAGAGCTGTGAGAAGATGACAAGAGGAGATGAGCTAACACACCAACCATAATCCCCTGTGTAATATTTGTATGGGGAGGGAAAAAAAATGCAAGTGTTAAAAAGGAGATTTCTTGGACTTCTTGTCTTTGCCAAAAAACTTGTTGTTGTTGTTGGTTATTTGAAGTATGGAAGATTTTGGTGAATTGAAGCTTGTAAAGTTAGAAATGTGTTTGAAGCATAAAGGAGAAAACAGAGGTTTCTTCTTTGTGATTAGTCTTGCAGGTAAACTGTATTGTTGACCATGCAGCCTCTTTTCTTGGTTGAAAAATTAGTCATATTTCTTCTCTACCTGCCGGCTCTATTGTTTCTACTTGTCTCCATTCTTAATGTTTTTCTTTTTCTTTTTGACACTATATTCATTTTACATAATTGTCCATGATTTTTTAAATCATATTAACTGCTACCTAATTAGATTTTATTGTAAAGGAAATCGTGTTATGCTAAGACATCAGGACTTTTTAATTCCATTTATACCATTGTAGTTTGTCTTTTCAACTAGCAACATTTAAGAAAAAATGCGCAAAGGTTTAGAACTTAGTTAACATTCATCATCTTTACACCATTTTCTAGGTATAACGTAAATGAATATTTTGCTACTATTTTATGTTAGTGATTTAGAGTAATTGAATTCCATAATGGTTAGTCGTTAGTCCTAATATCTTATAACCATTAGTTAGAGAGAAGAAGAAAATATAAATAAAAGAATAAGAATGCATTTCCTAAATTAGGTCTACGGTTTTCCACACGCTTTAGCAATTAACATGTTGTAAACAGTAAACAAAAAATTAAAATTAAAACCAACTCCCATGGCTTGTTTCCAAGCAAAGCAGTAAGTAACGTGCCCAAGCCAGCCCCCTAGTAAACAATTAACTATTAAATGAAGATGTTGTACTTGTGTTGAATTTGGGAGGAAAAAGTAATCCAGATATTTTTCTGCATTTTAGGTACAACGCAATAGTAGAAAAAGGCATCTTTTGGACTTTATAGGGTTTTATCATCTTTTTCAATAGTTAAGCCTTGATAAAATATCAGTGGGTAGATAGTAAACTAATCTAGGGTTATATGTGTGCTTTGTCCTTTATTTTCCAACCTTTTGGTTGTCAACTTCTTAAAACGCAAAAAGATGATGTTATTTAAAAATAAAGATAATTCTAACATAATTAACAAAAGTGTATAAGTGAAAAATAGACTCGCCACATGAGTCTATTAATTGGCAAAACGTGTCAGCGAAGTTATTAGAAAAGTGAAGAATGACATATAAAGATATGTCAAATACCCTCGGGACCGAACATACTTATACTGTGCCTATTAGTCTCGGAACTGATCATCATAGAATAGCCCAGATCAGGTACGGAGAATAGCTCACAATTACCATCATTACGCCATCAATTACAAATCAATTATGTAAAGTATAATAAATGCAATAAATGTTGTAACGGGCAAAACAAGGCAATCAATTACAAAATTGACTCAACATGTACGAAATTGACTCAACAGGTACGAAATTGACTCATCAATTATGGAATTAACTCATCAGTTACAGAATTTCAGCATTTACTTAGCCGTTACAAGTCTTCCAAAAGTAACAGATGGATTGAGTAAATGCTCACAATGGATCCATATTTCAAGAAGAATGGTTACCTAGATCTAATCATATAAATAGACATACTTTACCATCATTGTAATCATCTAATTTTCTTCTCTACAATTCTACACATTGTAATTCATAGCAATTTGCTTCCAAGTTTGCCATAGTTCAGCTCTTCAAGCTCTGTTCAGCTCATCATCCTATCAAGGATCATCCAATAGGAATTATTTCTTCTTTGTATTATTTTTACTATATTATCTGTCATTGAATTCATTTTTGACTTCTCTATCATGTTGTGTTAATGAAAATTTATATATTTCGGATCGAATCGGTTGCTTGTGGCCCATCATATAAAATTAATTATTTTGACCTTGAAAGATATTTTTTTGGTTAAACAATTTGGTTCCGCTGCCGAGAACTCAAGCAAATTTTTTATTCGTCCAAAGATACTAATAATTTTTGTTAATCTTCACTTATTATCAGTTTAAACCTTCATCATAGTCGAAATTTACCAATCAATATAGTTGAGGACAATCAAGTTGGAGATGGCTTTACCAGGCAAAATAAAAATGGAAGAATAACCATAATAATGATAGGTAAGTAATGAACAAAGATAAATAGAGAATGGACAACAGTACTAAACATATTGGTACCATACTATTAGTATAGGAGGTTCAGACACACCAGTTAATTTCGATTCGCAAAATTTAGATCTAACCTTACAGAAACAGATCAAGAAACAAAATGAGCGGATAGAACACCTCCGGTAATTTTCAACTATCCCACGAGAATGATATGCATAACCGTTACATCACCAGGCTTCAAACAGAAGAAGACACGGTAAGTCGAATCGACACTAATAGGATGTTCAGAAATAGGTTCGGGAACTAAACAGAGATGATTCCGAA